TCACATGTTAGAAAACCCCATCTTTTTTATCTCTAAGTCCTTTATCAAACCTTTATATTAGAGATATAAATAAGTCTCATACAAAGTTCACGTGAAGCTATTGACCTTTCTGAGAGGCATTTTCAGAATTCCTCACTGTTCACACAGCCCCGCTCCTGGTGCCGGTGCCAGTGCGTGCCGGCCCCTGGTATGGCCCGTCAGCTCGCTGTCCTGATGAGCTTCATGTTTCCTTTGCAGAAAAGCAAGTCCCTACCACCAGTGACAGTATTTCAGCTGCTCTCTGGACCCCTCCTCTTTGCTGGCCCAGGTGGCATGATGGTCCCATGTCCCTGGCAGGTCTTAGCCGGCACAATCTGTGCTGCAGCCGGCCGGCTCTAGGCCAGCATCTCTTCTTTCGAGTCTCTGCCTGCTCCTCTGAGCAGGTGCAAGCTGTCCTCTTCAGGTGCTTCTGCCTCCTCCTCCTCACTTCCCAGTGGCTCCAGGGGGCGTTTTGTGCCACGCTGCTGGGAAACTGCTAGTGCGTACTGCATGTTATAGCGGTTCCAGCCACAGAGTTTTGACAGGTCGTCCAGGTGCCGCTGGATGCTCTTCTGGAGGAACTGAATCACAGGCACCAGAGTCCCGGCTCTGGACTTCAACTTCTGTCCATGCAACATGAGCAGTTTCTGAGTCCAGAGGAGGTAGAATTCCACGTGGCGAGACACTTCAAAGGAGGAAGCTAAGAACTCAAGCACTTTCTCCACATATAATTCAGGAAGGGAGGAGCTGACCACTTCAATCTCGTCCCTAGGCACCGCCTCCAGGGCCTCCTGCACCAGCTTGCTCTCGTTGAGCCGGAGGGCCATGAGGATGGCCTGGGTGAAGTCCTGCCGGCGCAGCGCCTCGCACACCCGCCTGGGGGTGACGCTGGCGTCCAGCTCGAATGGGTCGAAGAGCACGCGCATGTCCAGGGAGTAGATGAGGAGCCCCTCCGTGGTGGTGGCCGCCCAGCAGCGCCCAGTGGGAGAGAAGTGAACTGAGGTCACCCTGATCTCGGGTTTGAAGTGCCGAGAACTCTTGTCACCTTTCTTGACGCTTGGCAGTGGTATCGCCACTCCATCCTCCTGCCCAGCATCTTGATCAATTAGTGCCAGGTTGCCAAACTCTGTCATTTTTCTTCAGTTCAAAAATTCCTCCATGGCGTCCAGAGACAGGTTACAAGAGATCTCAAACCTCTTCATGAGAACCTGCTCGCAGACGTGGTAGATGCACACAAACTTGGACATGCCTCCCGCCAGGATGCCCTGGCCGTCTGCGGAGTAGCACAGGATGCTGAAGGCTTTCCCCTTGGCTGAGTGCTTGGCTGTAATCTTGTCCAGCTCCATCCTGCCCGTCTTCAGGTCATGCCTGCCCTCGATGGAGCCCGTCTGCACTGCATTCTCGGGGTCCCAGAAGGTGATCTGTGAGTTCAGCATGGCCACAGCCAGCTCCGCACCATCAGGGCGAAAAGTCACAGCCAAGGTGTCAGAGGTCAGGGCCAGTGTCTCCTTGGTCCTCCAGCTGTCAAACATGTCCCACAGCCGCACCATCTTGTCCCAGGAGGCACTGGCCAGGATGGACTTCATTGGGTTAAAACACAGACCACTGATGGGTCCCTCGTGTCCGGACAAAACATCAAGGAGCCTGCCTGTCTGCATGGACCACACAAAGATCTCAAACAAGTCTTGCGCCCCCGCAGAGACGATCTCCCCACTCGCATCCACCGCCACACAGGAGAACTGGGTGGGGCGTGAGGAGGTGAAGGTGCGGAAGTTTCGGTACCTGTGAAGGTCAAAGGCTCGCACGGTCCCGTCCATGGATGAGGTCACCACGACATAGCCGGTGGCAGTAAAGGTCACACCAGTCACCCCGCTGGAGTGCTCCGTGAAAGTGACAAAGCAGAAGCCACTGAGGGTGTTCCACACTTTGACCTTGCCGTCGTCCCCGCCGGTCACGATGTACTGTCCATCAGGCGAGTAGGCCAGGGCCACCATGCTGTTGAAGTGGCCCTGCTGCTTGAGCACGTAGGACTCGCTCTGCCACTCCCACACCAGCAGCTGGCCCAGACGTGAACAGCCGAAGGCGATCCAGTCCCCAGAGCTGTTGATGGCCACTGAGGCGATGCTTTGATCTGAGATGCTCAGCGAGTGGATGAGGTTGAATTCCAGCAGCTCATGAAGATGGAAGATTCCAGAAGCAAAGCCAGTGACCAAGAGATGAGACTTCTTGTGAAATGCAGCAGCTGTTAGATTGTTAAAATCTCCTTCTTTATTGAAGAAATACTTGGCCAGCTGCCAGTACTTCACTTTTCCTGTCTTTTCCTCTTCGGCCGGAGCAGCTTTTCCCCAGATGGTGGTCTCTCTGTCCTGGTACAGGACAGGGAAGCTGAGGAAGAGGAGGCAGACTATGTCAGGGCCACTGTAAACATTATCGCTAACGTTATCAACACCGTGAGGAACGCCAGACAAAACGTCCGTGCATTTCAGAAAGTCAGAGCCAACCCACACTTGGCCAATGCCGCCAAATGTCTTCTGACCACTGGCAGAGTCTCCTCCCGGAGCACCGCACAGGCGCAAAACGCCTTTGCAGGGACAACGTTGGCAATGACCAAAAGTGCTCGCATGCTGGGAGGTACGATGGCCACCTTCTCCCTTGGCTTTGACTTGGCCGCTTTCTCAAAAGAATGGAAGCACCTGAAGGAAGGAGCCAGGACAAAGTTTGCGGAAGAGTTGAGAGCCAAGGCCTCGGAGCTGGAGAGGAACCTCATAGAACTCACCCAGCGCTACCAGAGCTTGCAGCAGAAAGTGACCTAGAAGCTCCCTTCCTGGCTTCCAGTCTTCTTATCATCACTTCAAGTTGTCCGGCCTTTTCAGACTGAACCAATGTACTTCTTACATATATTGATTGATGCCTTATGTCTCCCTAAAATGTATAAAACCAAACTATGCCCCGATCACCTTGGCCACATGTCGTCAGGACTTCCTGAGGCAGTATCACAGGTGTGTCCCCAACCTTGGCAAAATAAACTTTCTAAATTAAAAAAAAAAATGCCACTGATTGGCATTTTTTTTTTCCCACAGGCAAACAGAAAACAGGATGGTTTAATTTGTGGAGTCAAGAGTTGTTTGTTCTTAGTTACCGCACTCAACAGGCAAATTATATTCACCTTGGTACAGAAATGGCACCCTGTCACTCCCCTGGGATCTTTAATCCAGACAGAATTATTCTTGGGCACCCTTCTCTATGTTTCTACCAACAACTACTGTCTCTCCCTTCTTACAGCAATATGTAAATTCTATTTTGTTCCAAGCAACTGGGAAATGAGGTCTTTCATCCAAAGGAGTAGCCATTTCCAGTATAGCACCACTGATCTGTCAATGGATTTGATAGATTTGATATACTGACATCCAGATCAAGATTTTCCATTATTTATAACCTGTCTCTGATGATCCCAAAGGCACTTTAGAACCTGGCAGTGCCTCAGGGTCACTGATTTTCACTGGACAGAATTAAGGGATATAGAAGGTCTGCTGAATCTGTCCCGGCTCTGGATATTCACTCTAAAAAGAGTTTATTTGAATACGGTTTTGACATATTTGCTCTCTATGTCTATGTAGGCTCAAAATGAACAATATAAGGAGATTCATTTTGTTCATCCATAGTTTCTAAA